GAGTAATAATTTTTTTCATTGAACCTGGTCGAGGTGTGGGGCATTTGGGTGGGTCATTGTACTTGTTTTGGGTTGATTGTAAAAATTTTGTTGTGCAGAGGAATGGCAGTCCCAGACCCAACGCAGCCACATGGACTGAAGCTTTTAATAGAGGACTACCCCTACGCCGCCGACGGTCTCTTAATTTGGGAGGCCATTCAAAAATGGGTAACCACCTACGTCAACCATTACTATCCAGATTCCGACCGCGTCTGCAACGACCGGGAGCTTCAGGCATGGTACTCCGAGTCCATCAACGTCGGCCACGCCGACCTCCGCAACGCCGACTGGTGGCCGACCCTAGCCTCACCGGCGGACCTCGCCTCCATCCTCACCACCATCATCTGGCTCTCCTCCGCCCAACACGCCGCCCTGAACTTCGGGCAGTACCCCTACGGCGGGTACATGCCGAACCGGCCGACTCTCATGCGGCGGCTCATCCCGGACGAGAACGACCCGGAGTACGCCGGGTTCGTGGCCGACCCGGAAGCGTATTTCTTCAAGGCTCTGCCGAGCAAGCTGGACGCGACGAAGCTGATCGCCGTAATTGATACGCTGTCGACCCATTCTCCGGACGAGGAGTACTTGGGGGAGAGACCGCATCCTTCGACGTGGACCTCGGACGCCGCTATGGTGGAGGCGTTCTATGAGCTGTCGGCGGATATTGCGGAGATAGAGGAGGAGATTGAGCGGAGGAACAGTGACCAGAGGCTGAAGAATAGGTGTGGTGCTGGTGTTATACCTTATGAACTTCTTGCTCCCAGCTCTCCACCTGGGGTTACCTGTAGAGGTGTTCCTAATAGTGTCACCATCTGATTTGATTCATCTTCTAATCTTCTATAAATAAATAAATTTAAATATTTTTACCTTTGTTTATTGAACAATTCTTGGATATATACATTTTATGGTGTTGCTTGATATGATGTTACTAGAATTTCATATTGAAAAATCAACGATGTTACATTATAGATTCTGATTATGATAAATATATCAAATCTATTAGCACGCTAAGATAATCAATATCTTGATAAAGTATTAGGGTTGTTTAGCTCTGTTTCTTAAATCTTTAATTTCTTACATATAGAGATTATGGGGACAAAACCATTTTTTGAAGTAATCGATTTATTTTCAAGAAAATCAAGTCTCAAAGCTCCATTCAAATCCATAAACATAAATGAGTGAAATATTTTTCCAAATCTATAACTGTCAAGGAAGATTGAACAATTGATGGTTCACAAGTAAACCACTAATGGCTTTTGTAGAGAGAAAGGAGAACAATGAATAGAGAGAGAAAGAACCTGATATTAAATGAGATTCGAACTTTAGAGCATCTCCAATGGGAGGGTGGTAAACAATGATGTGGCATAGAAGAGAGATAGAGATAGAATAAATTAGGGCTGGGCACGGGTCGGGTTGGGGCGTGTAATGCAAAATAAAATGGAACTGCCGATTCCATTGTACGGTTCGGTCCGGTCCGGGTATTACAATTTTCAAAATAGGAACCGGAAATTACCCGGCCCGTTTGAAACGGGTCGGTCCGGTCCGAGTTTTACGGTTTCTATTCTCGTGTCTTGAAATTAGTAAAAACTCACGAAGTTTCAAAAATCAATAATCAATAATATAGGACATTAGCAAGTTTGAAAATAACAACATAGTTGTGCACATATAACACAAGCGAAAAGTCCAACAATACTCTATAAATTCTTGTATATAAGTTTCAAACAATTAAAGAAATTCCAAAAATATGCAACATAGCCAATTTACATATTTTCTAACATTTGTATATAAACATGTTGTCTAACATCACATATTATAGTGATTGCTTTTTTTTTATATTAAATTTTCAGTATTAGCCAAAGTTGACACATACATGGTGGGTGGTAAACACAATTTATATATTTTAATAACAATATAATAAAAAAAATATGACAAAATCATCTTTAACAAATAATTAAATTCCATAGAAAGGAATAATTCAATAACAATAAAAAGTAATAAGATATTTATGAAACATTTAATCAATAATTTGAAAACAAAAGGATGTTACTCCAACTCAATTTAAAATCCTACTTCTAGCAAAGGAAAGAAAACTATTTTAAAACTGATTATCACAAAACTATTAATAAATTAATATACAATATATATAACGGGCCGGGCAGGGTACCCGTTATTTTTTAATTTTAGAACCGGTCCGGTTCCTTAAAAAAAATTACCTGACCCTACCCGAACCGCCATTACCCGGACCGGACCGCGGTTCCAAGACCCGTTTGCCCACCCCTAGAATAAATATTTGGATGAAGTGGTATGTAGGGAAAAATAAAAAAGAGGAGAGAGATAGAGGTAAACATGGACCAAGGTCTATACACGGGATTCGAGCAGGAAAAGTTGATGAAAGGTGGATTAAAAGTGATATAAAAAAATAAAAATGAAATAAATTAGGAAATGTGTGGGTCCTACATATAAAAATTGTGAGATAAAATATGGGACCCATGCGTAAGGGTGTGTAAGAGACCACACCCTTGCATTGGGGTTGCTATTATATCCCAGGGGTGGATTCGGGCCGGGTCGGGCCTAGGCCCGATGGGCTTTTGGATATTAAGTGGTAGGCCCATGACCGGCCTGGGTTTCCACCTAGTCCGGTTCGGACCTGGGCCGGGCCTGTTATAATTTTTTTTTCCTAACTACTCCCCGACCCCCCCCCCCCCCAACCGGGTCAAAACACCCTGGTGACTCGGCCCAACCCGGAAGGAAGCAAAAATAATCTGGACAAAAAAAAAGAATTTAGGCTCGAACCGGGCCCGGCCGAGCCGGTTCGGATTTTACCTAGCCCGTACCCGCCCGGATAACCCCCCCAAATCAGGCCTAGACCCGGAACCGGTACCCAGTTCCCGGGCCAGGCCAAGCCCACACAGTACCGGGCGGGACCGGTTCCCGGGCCGGGTGGCCCGAACCGGGTCCAAGCCTATATCTTCCCAATTAGGTAGTTTATACTTAGTAAATGAGTGGTGCATCAAATGCATGTACATGTGTATATATTTTTTGGGCGTGAGCCCTGTGGCGAAGTAGAGAGCCACATGTGTGTCAAGGTGCGTGTGCTCCTCATCCTTGGTGTTTTCCCTGTACCTGATCTGATATTGCTAACACATGATCCAATCTATTTGGGGAACCCCTGAACAAGGTAACCCTTTGAGAGAATCATTGGACGAAGGTCGCTGTGCAAAAACTATCACCGATGGGCCTAATTTGAGGGGCTTGAGCTGACGTTCTGAGATTAAATTGTGCCTCCATATAGACATTACTTATTTATTACTTTGATAAACAACAAAATTGTACTCCATCCATCCCATTTTGGTTGTCTTAATTTCTTTTTTGGATTGTTCCAAAATAGATGTCATGTTTCTATTTTTGATAAGAAATTCGTGGTCTATATCATTTCATTTCATTCTACTAAAATTTCAACCACAACTTTTTACTTTTCAACTACTTTATTAATAATCGTGCCAAATTGAAATGAGACAACCATTATGGGACATTGGCAGTATATATTACTACCTCCGTCCCCCTAAGTTTGGGACAAGAGAATGTGGCATGGTTATGATTTAGTAAGAATGATTGGTATGAATTGATAAAGTAAGAATGATTTAGAACCACACAAACTTTACCAAATAAGGTATGAGTCAATCTTAGTGGGATGGACCGAAATTGTAAAATTGGACAATCATAGAGGGACGGAGGGAGTAATATGTAATGTAGTTAGAGCTTAATGATTAATGTTAATATAAAATATGGTGATTATAATTTATAAACAAGTGTAGAATTGTTATAAATTTATAAACATAAATTTATGATTCTACTCCCTCCGTCCAGTTGAAAGATTTCTACTTTATTTATTTGTGTGTCTTATTTAAAAGTTCACATTTCATTTTAGAAAAGAATTCACTCTCTTTAATGACTACGTATATCTTTACTCAAATTTCTCTTTTCTATTCATTACGTGCCACATCTCACAATTTCCAGGGTACCCGCCGTGTTAGCAAGTCGCCTGCTGACATGGCACACACACGACAACTCAGTCAACAATGACTTTACTTACGTGGTGCACACGTGAAAGTCTAGTCAATCATTTACTGATGACGTGACACACACATGGACCGCCACATGTGAGCCACGTCAGCGAGTAAGTTGCTGATATGACAAGTAACATGTTAATTGACTCAATTGAACGTTTTGTAAAGTTCCAGAATTTGATTAATTGTTTTTTAAAATATGAGAATCTAATTGATTTTTCATGCTACTGAAAATTTACTTTTGAAAGTTTGCTATTAGTAAAAAGAATTGATTTCATAGTACTATAAATTTACTTTTCTATTTACTACTCCGTATATTACTATCCTAGTCTAGGTGTGGGCCGGTTGACGGTGTCAATGTGGAAAGCGGGATGCACACGGCCATGGAACTATGGAAGTCGTTATAGTCAATGAACCTTAGTCAAGTCTTACTCACAATTTACTCCCAATAACATTAAAGGAGAAGATTAAAAGTCTAATTTATTGAGGAATGTTCATGTCAGGCCGGCCTGACGGGCTGCCCCGTCCGGCCGAGCCCGTTTGGGCACCTTCCCGGTGGAATTTTTTGATAAAATTTTTTGAGCATGTTCCTCATCAAGTCTAGTTTGTCCATACCAAATTTCAGCTCAAAATTCCATCGGGAAGGTCGTCAAATGATTTTTGCAAGTTAACTGGTCCTGAATATGTATTTTCCGGACCAGTTAACTTGCAAAAATCATTTGACGACCTTCCCGATCGAATTTTGAGCTGAAATTTGGTATGGACAAACTAGACTTGATGAAGAACATGCTCAAAAAATTTCATCAAAAAATTCCACCGGGAAGGTGCCCAAACGGGCTCGGCCGGACGGGGCAGCCCGTCAGGCCGGCCTGACATGAAGAGCACTCCTAATTTATTTACTCTCTTAACTAAATTATCCCGTCGGTTTCAAGTAATAAAGCTCATATAAATTCTCTCAGGTTCTGTTTCCCAAAGCTGCAAAAAGTTTTCAGTTTCTCATCTTTACGGAAATCTTCTGCGTCTTCATTCTTCTATGGTTTACTCGCTCATATTCTGCCACAGAGTTATTATCAACAAGGAATTTTCGAAGTAATTGTGAGATATTCCCTGAATTTAAAGCATGCATCCTCCGACCACCGAACCGCCGACGTCCACGGCGGAGATTCTTGACCAGATCACCCTCCTCCTCTCCCATCTCCTCCCCGCATCTCTCTCTATCAAGTCTTTCTCTTCCCGCTGGCATGCCATCCGTTCCAAGCTCGCTACTCTGAAATCGCTTCTCTCTGAAGTGTCTGAGTCTCCCCGGTGGTCGGATAACGCGCTACTTCCCACTCTTCTTCCCAACCTCTTATCCATCGTCCGCCGCGTCGACACCCTCTGCCGGCAGTGCTCCGACGCTTCCGTCACTCCCGGTAAGCTGCTTATGCAGTCCGACCTTGATATGGCTGACGCCTGGCTTTCGAAACAGATTAACCACCTCGACGTCCTCTGTCGCTCCGGCGTCCTCCGGCACTCCACGGCTATTGTCCTCTCCCAGCCCTCCTCCGGCTCCACCCGGGAAGATTTGGTGTTGTTCATCAGAGACCTTTTCACCCGCCTCCAGATCGGCGGAACTGAGTTCAAGAGGAAGGCTCTGGATTCTCTTGTTCAGCTTCTTGCCGACGACGAGAAACACGCGGGGCTTATCCCCAAGGAAGGGCGTATCTCGTATTTGATAAATCTCCTCGACCCGAATTCAGATCCGGCAATATGTGAGCAGGCTGTCATGGCGGTGTCGATGATTACTTCCTCCAGCAGCCTGGCGAGAAAGTCCGTGTTCGACGACGGCGGTTTAGGGCCATTACTGAGATTAATCGAATCTGGTTCGACTATCATGAAAGAAAAAGCCGCCATGGCCGTGGAAAACATCACCAGTGATTCCGACAACGCCTGGGCGATTTCCGCCTACGGAGGTGTCCCTATCCTAATCGAGCTCTGTAAATCCGGACCATTTCCGGCCCAAATTCACGGCCTAGGGGCAATACGGAACGCCTGTACTAACGAAGATGTCCGGAATGCATTAGCAGATGAAGGCGCGATTCCAATTTTTCTTCAGTACATTGTCTCTGGAAATTCCTCCGCCCAAGAGAAGGCTGCAAACTGCATCGCAACCCTAGCTTCTTCAGGCGGGTCCTTCCGTGATCTGTTACTCAGAGAAAACGGGTTGTCCAGATTGCTTCAGTCACTACATGAATCCGCCCGACCAGAAACGACCGAACATGTGTTACGAGCAGTTCATTCGCTTTCGGGTTGTGAATCCGTATCCCGCCATCTCTCGTCATCCATAGCTTTTGTTACTCAGTTATCGGACCACATAATTCATGGAACCATGATGATACAATACATTTCTGCTTCTCTGCTTGCTAATCTGTCCATTGGTGAGGCGACTAAGAGGGAAATTGCAGGGTGTATGGGCTCATTGGTGAAGTTAGTGCAGTCGGCAAAGCCCGATGGGATGCCGGAGGTGGCTACAAATGCATTAACGTCTTTATTGAGTATAAACTGTAACCGTAAGGAGTTGGTGAGGGACGATAAGAGCTTAACATTGATTGCACAAATGCTTGACCCTAAGTATGATTTGGTTTCCAAGAAGTTTCCTGTGGCTGTGGTGTCATCGGTTATGGCTGGAGGGAGTAAGGGTTGTCGGAAAAGGCTTATTGATGCCGGAGTTTATGGACATTTGCAGAAGTTGTCTGAGATGGAGGTTGTAGGGGCCAAGAAGGCCTTACAGAGACTCTCTGGGAATAGACTGAAGAGCATAATTGCCAGAACATGGTTAGAATGAATGATCAATGGAGTAATTGTCTCTTACCTTCACCTCAGGTAATAACTGCTTTTCACAACATGATTATTGTTTATAAACGTTGAGTTATGTTCAATTTGTAGTTAAGCTCAGTTTTGTTTTGCCAAATGCCTGGATAATCTGCCACTTTGATCTTTTCCTTAAGAAATGAGAATTCTGCTGGTATTATTCTGGTGCAGAATAAACGTAATATTCGATTAATGACAATGACATAGATTACGGCCATAATATTCTATGAATGGCTTGAAACTTTTGATGGATGGTATTGTTTCATCCCCTTTCCCTTTATATTTGGAAAGATGATAAGATAAATTTTAACACTATATCTTTTACAATAGTTTTTTATTTTTATCATTTATATAATCATCTTAAGATTATTTTTTGGCTTGAGAATATGATGGAATAAAGCAAAATGACTCTCTAAACTGTCTGCGCTTCTTTGTTTTGAAGCAGCAGTCAGTCCATGCAATTTTGGACGCGATTTTCACTATGGGTCACCCGGAAACAGTCTCTCCGTGCTTTAGTACAGGGATAAGACTGCGTACATCCGACCCTCCCTACCCCACCGTAGGTGAGAGCCTTTGCGGCATTGGGTAAATGAAAATGAAATGATATAATCATCTTAAGAGAGCCCTTCAATTCCTTAAACTGAGAATCAATAATGTCCAAACAAAGTAGTGTTATCAAATGGTGATTCTGAATGGGATTTATTTCTAAAATCAATAAGCCAAGCTACAACTTGTTAGTTTTGTGTACATGCCTTGTATAATTCAATACTCCCACTTTTCTGTTAATTTACTGGTTTAATTAAAACCACATGTAACTTAGAAATACCAATTTCTTTGTTTAAGTAACAAAAAGTTTAGGAAACGTGTTTTTTTTAATGAAAGAGTGTGCTATTTTAATGTTTAGGCCACAAAACCAGTCAAATCAATGAAGTATGAACTTGTTTGGTCTCACATCAACATAATCATTCTCATAGTAGGATCATTTCACTATGTCCATTGTCCAATATGAATATGATGTGGAGGCCATGTAAGATTTCAATACATGACACCACGATGGTATGTGACATTGTGACTCCATAAATTTTTCAATCCAATCACTCTAATTGAAGTCAGTGGACCAATGATAATATTTATTACAAACGAAACATTGAAGGTGAAGATTGTGCCCCGGCCAAAGAAGTACACCATTTCCAGTTTTATGGAGATGAATGCCGCCTGTTTATCAATTAATGCTTATAATGAATGGATTAACTCATCAACCTTATCTTTGCTGCATTGATGTCACTGCATAAAACTGATCTCTTAACTGTCGAATTTATTGGGTTGCTTATATTGGTAGCTTTCTGAACTGAATGCCTTTGTTCTTGTTAGGTGTATCATTTATGAACTGGCAAGGTTTCATGTGATGCACATTAATGTTTTACAACTAATTTTTAGAGCAATGGTTTTCATACACAAAATTTGTACACCAAGTTTTAGACCAACCCCATTTTTATTTGTCATAGACACCCTACAATGTAAGGTGTCTGTGAAACCAAATATGGGGTTGGTGAATAACTTTGGCTGCACTTTCTTGAAAAATATTCCTCACCCCTCCAAAAGGAGATCACTTCTTAAGTGTTATTTATTCTTTGGTTTATTGGCAAAAATTCTATGGAACGAGATACATCTCTTTACGGAGCCAAAAGGCTTATTAAGCCACTCATTTCTATGAGTGTATTGGCCCCATTGGCCAAAGATGTATATAAGCCAATTTGGCTTAGTAAGCAAGCTCTTTCTGGATCCATCAATTACTCATGTTTTGGTATATTGTTTCTATCCATGATATATACTCCTATCTGTTATAACTGATATATTCTATGCAGAAATTTGTTTAGATATGGATTTGGATTCACCTACCTACCCGAGAATGAGTGAGGAAATTCACACGTTTCCAGCTTGAGAATCAAGCACACACCCTGGCGGAGTACACAGTAAATTTTACCTGCATTGTATTATTTTCTGTAAATAAGGGGGAAATTGTAATTAAATTTGTTCCTAGTCAAATGGCATGGAATCATGGATGCGGTTTTAGGAAGTATCCTTGCTTTTTTTTTTTCTGTTGGATCTTGCAAGTGTTACATTTTTGGTTAAATAATACTTTGTAGTTATGCACATCCAAGACTGTCTCTTTTCTTTTCTAATTTTGGAGGAGCTCTTTTTTATAGTGTGTAACTAAGATTGTCTTTTTCCATTCCTTCATATGTTGGAGAAATATGTAATATATACTTAAAGACAAATCTTCATGTCAGGCCGGCCTGACGGGATGCTCCGTCCGGCCTAGGGCATTTCGGGCACTTCCTGGTGGAATTTTTTGATAAAATTGTTTGAGCATGTTATTCATGAAGTCTAGTTTATCCATATCAAATTTCAGCTAAAAATTCAATCGGGATGGCACTCAAATAATTTCTTGAAGTTAACTGGGCAGTTCATACATATAAATTGCCCAGTTAACTTCAAGAAATTATTTGAGTGCCTTCCCGATTGAATTTTTAGCTGAAATTTGGTATGGATAAGTAAAACAGATAAACTAGACTTCATGAAGAACATGCTAAAAAAATTTCATCAAAAAATTCCACCGGGAAGTGCCTGAAATGCCCTCGGCTGGATGGAGCATCCCGTCAGGCCGGCCTGACATGAAGACTACTCTATACTTATATACCTCACAAATGTAGTCTCATTTTCTAGACTGTTCTGACCTCAGCACTTCAGCAGTGAATTCAAGATGATATTTGTACAAAAAGTTCCTTTCACGCTTTCTACAATTCTACGTCAGATACTCACATTGGTCTCTTAGGGCCAGTATGGTTGGGGGATTTTGGAGGGGAGGGAAAAGGAGGAGTCATATTTAAATTTGAAATAATTTTTTCATTTAAAAAAATTCAAATTAAGTGAAGACAAAATAGTATATAAAAATACATGGTTTAACCAATTACAATACATAATTTTGTAATCCAAACATCCCTAATCAAGGTAAGTATACCTTGCTTAATCACTTGCCGTTTATATTTTGATAACACCATTACAATACATAATTTTGTAATACACCCTCTTTCTAATTTAAGGAAAGCTCTACAACGTGTGATTTATCTACCATCTCTATTGCTATTTAATTTATAAAAAAATTGAGAATAATAATCTCAACTATTATCGATATGCTATAAGGGCATTTTCATTGGTAGGATTATTATGAGATTAAGTTGGTGACATGGCAGGAGTTTTAGAAAATTATCATTGAGTGACATAGATTATTTAATGAGATTATTTGCTACAATAATCCAGGATCAAAATATGAAGCCAAATTATTTTAAGATTATTTGAAAAATATATGTAATAGAGATTAATGCAGGACAGAGGAAAAGCAGATTATTTGAAGATGATTGAGAGACATAAACGAATTTTGAGAGTATATGTCATAATCGAGGATCAAAGTATATGTCTTACTGACTCCATGTTAAATTACCGCAAATCGTTTTAGTATTGTTCTAAGTGGTATTTAATGTTATCATACTCAACCGGCATTCAAATGATTTTAATACCATATAATGACCTCTTCAAACCTATGTTTCAATATAAAACTCACTATCGATGAATAGACTATACCAACAAAACAATTGCCGTCATTATACAATTCAGTCAATTTTAGTGTTACCGAACAGATTCTTATTTATTGATAAAATTAAATCAGCACGTGAGATTATAAGGTAAAGTCAATATGGTTGAAATTTATATCAATAAATGAATAACTGATCAAAACCACAAATTATTTATAGTTATTTATAAACAGAGGTGACTATTTTTATAACTAAAAAATAGTTATTCATTATTCATGTTTCCGCACAAAAACACAAAACTCTTATTTTCGTTTTTTAATTCACTTTTTACTTGAAATTTCCATTAATTTCTCCGTGCAGGGCACGTGTCGGATACTAGTATATAACCTTTATCACTTAACACGTGTGAAGTTACTATCAATTCCAAATTAAGTCACATCGACTAGATAATTTCTATCCAATTAAAAACATTTGGCTAAAGGGTCAAATAGGTACATGAACTAACTTAAAGTGTTCAATTAGCCCCTTATATAGGGGTTCTGCCCGGCCGTCACCAATTGGGGCGATTCTCGGTGGAATTTTTTGATGAAATTTTTTGAGCATCTTCTTCATTAAGTCTAGTTTACCCATACCAAATTTCAGCTAAAAATTCAATCGGGAAGGCAGTTAAATGATTTTGTGAAGATAACTTCGTAGTTAAACATCACAATACATTTCGAAAAATCATTTGACTACCTTCCCGGTTGAATTTTTAGCTGAAATTTGGTATGAGTAAACTAGACTTAATGAAAAAGATGCTCAAAAAATTGAATCAAAAAATTCAACCGGGAACCTCTCTAATTGGCGATGGCCGGGCTGAACCTCCTATATAAGGGGCTAATTGAACACTTTAAGTTAGTTCATGTACCTATTTGACCCTTTAGCCAAAACATTTTAAATCACATGACCAGTTGTGTATGCGTGAGTGAAGTTGGACTAATACGTAGTAATAGACATAGATAAAATGTATGCATTTTTAAATATATATGTCTACTTTCAATTGTAGTCCTAGAACTTTTTTCAAGTAGGGGCATTGATGCATGGACATAGATGGGTCGAGTTGGATGCGAGATTAAACTATCATGTTTAGCTGTGGACAATTTTTTTAAACGGAAATAAGTTATTCACCCTGTTAAGACAAATTTTTATCATAAGATATTCATTTATGTACTATATATGAGTCTAGTTTTCATCCTATTAAGACAATTTTTTATCAAAAGTATTAAGTTTTTTGAAAGAAAAACATAATATTGATTGAAAGTTAAAATTGAATTATCTTTGCACCGTTTATGATTTTGGATTAGAATTCAAGTAATTTTATATCATTTACATTCAGAATTTGATTCAGAGCTAGGATGGTGTTCAACTAGACCATTAAAAGAAATTTATTATCATATACGAAGGACTACCTTCATCCCACTAAGTTTGGGACAATTCAGTTTACAATGTTTGACCGACGATAAAGCAAACAGATCCCTGTCTGCACTCAAATCATTTTTAGAAGAAAAAATTACATATTGAGAAACTACATTAAAAGTTTTACAAAGTCGCAAAACCAGAATCAAATCTGATAAAAATTTGAGATTAAGAGTGATTTGTGTGGACCAAGTGAATAGCGTCTGAGACAATCTTAGCGAGATGAATGTAGTATCATTTGAAGCTATGAGCAACCGTTGATTTTAAATAACTTTCAGCATTAAATATATTATCATACACTTGTATTACTCCCTCCATCCCGTTGGAATGTTCCCGTTCGGTTTACGATGCTTGACTGGCGATAAAGCAACTTGATCCCTGTTCACACTCCGCTTATTTTTAGTAAATAAAATTTACATATTCAGAAACAACATTGAAATCGCTACAAAGCCTGATCAAGAAAAGTTCAATTTGATAAAAATTTGATATATAAAGTAAAAGATTAGGAGCGACCTAAGTTGACCAATGAATAGTGAACGGTAACATTCCAACGGGGTGGAGGGAGTATAATTATAGGAGTCTAATCCGTCCACATACAAAACATATAAACAAACCATCGTTGTAAGAAAATGAATCTTTATGTGTAGTTTCCGGTCTAAAATACTTTCTTCATTCAATCATTTCGGGATTGTTAGTAAAAGTATTTGGAATATTTGAAGGAAATACACTATTGCGGCCTTTTATTAGTTTTATTATCATCATTTGTTTTCTCCGGTACATGCATTATCCAATAAATAGTGCTATTTTTGCCTTTTCTAGGGCATCACTTCTAGTGCTTGTCGTGGCTCAAATTTCTTTGTCGTATTTTCATGGAAAGAATGCGACAAATTAAATCGCTACTACGTACTCCATTTGCAGCACAGTGTACTACACAAGTACAGCACAGCTAGCTGTAAAGATTATCCACTCTTGCTCTAATTCCTCTTTATACATTCTTTTCGGGCTGCATTGTCACTTTTTTAGCCGCCTTTTCAGGGGATTTTTTCTTTTCTGGTAGTAGTTGTAAGAAGTTAATGGAATTGGAACACAACTTTTTATTTAATTATATTAGGAGCAATATATTAGACTAAAAAATAAGAAAAGTTTATGTAATGCCAAACAACCCCCAACTTTTAACAACCCCTTTATCAAAGTCAAACGTTATTTGTGGAGTGCTTAAATGATAAGATTTCACTTGGGCGAATCAGCCGCGCATCAAATATGGTCTCCGTCTATGTAGCACCGATACCGGTACGCGGAAACGCGGAAACGCGGAAACGGGTACGGGGATACGTCAAAACCAAAAAAAGTAGGATACGGATACGGGGCCACATTTATAAATATTAAAAGTTATGGGGGTGTATTTACAAATAGTAAAAGTTATAGGGGTCTATTTATAAATATTAAAAATAGTTTTTTTAAATATATATATATATATATATATAATATCCGATGATGTCTACCCATTCATTGCATTGAAGCATTTTCCTTTTTCAAGATACTTAGTAATAAATTCATAATATTTCTCATATACACTAGTGCATCTCGAAATATAAATGTAGTCAATAAGTCATTAATTTAAAATGAGAAATAAGTCAAACAACTACAATCTTGAAATTAAAAGTGCAAGTACCCAATTCGGAGTATGATTTAATGACTTAATTCGGATATAGCCATATAGGCCCATTATTTAATTAAAGTAAAATGTAGTTTTAGATTTTCATTTTTTTTAGAATTCTATTAAGTAAATTTTGGGATTTTTTGTTTAAAAAAAGTTGATACGGGTATCCGTCAGGATACGAGTATCGGAAACTTTCAAAAAATTACAAAAAAAATGGAAACTTTTAAAAATTGCAGATACGGCCCGGGAACGTACGGTACGGGTATCCTAGAGTATCGGATACGGGAACGTATCGGATACGCCGATACGCTACCCTAGGGAAGTATCCGTGCTTCATAGGTCTCCGTAGGCCATCCCCATTTCCTTTAATGCATGTGAGTTTCACTGGAAACAACTCGGGTTGCTTTCACTAAATTATTACTACCGGGGCGGAGCCAGGATCTAGTCATCACGGGGCCAAAAAGGAACACAAAGATCAAAAAAAAAAATCTCTAAATAAGACTAAAATAAAAATAAATTTCATTAATGGGATAATCATTGTTTTATTCTCAAAATAAGTCTTATTCACTCA